CATTGCACTAAGCCAGGGGTGTCCAAACTCGGTGCTGGAGGGCCGGTGTCCTGCATACTTTACCTCCAACCTCCCTAAACGCCTCCCTGAAAGTTTCTAGTATACTTTGAAAGAGCTTGATTAGCTAATTCAGGTGTGTTGAATCAGGGTTGGAACTAAAATATGCAGGACACCAGCCCTCCAGGAGTGAGTTTGGACACCCCTGCACTAAGCTAATATGTTTTATTAATATGTCACTTTACTAATATGTTTTTTTTTTCAGTGTTAATTTGGATAGCAAAAGTTTATTTATTCTTAGTCTTAAGCTTAGACTAGTCATAAGAAGCATATAGAAGCGTATGCCATTCAAGAAAGTCCTCTTTATAAAGTCCTCATTATTTTTTTCTTCAATGTCACCTTGGGGGCTCCTTAGACATGGATTTATTTGTTTATATTTATTTATGTATATTTATTTATAAATATTTATCGATGTATAGTCTACTCAATTTCCACCTGATCATGAGAGCCTGGCATACGTAGGAAAAGCAATAAATATTCACTTCACCTCACATCAGCTTGAGGAGACCGACTTGAAACATCATACAAATAATGCTTAATCTATATTCATACGCATGCATTTTTTAAATATTAAATGTGTGTGCATGTTTGTGTGTATATAGTTATTTATATATAGTTTTTCATGTTTTTTAAAGAAAATTATTGTTCATCAAAGCAGCATTTCTTAAATGTAAAAAAAGTTACATTTTATTTATTTTATTGTCGGCTTAGTGCCTTTATTAATCTGGGGTCACCAAAGCGGAATAAACCAGCAACTTATCCAGCAAGTTTTTATGCAGCGGATGCCCTTCCAGCCGCAACCCATCTCTGGGAAAAACACACACACACACCAGACAATTTAGCCTACCCAATTCACCTTTACCACATGTCTTTGGACTGTGGGGGAAGCCAGAGCACCCGGAGGAAACCCACAGGAATGCAGGGAGAACATGCAAACTCCACACAGAAACATAAACTGAGCATCAAACCAGCGACCTTCTTGATGTGAGGCAACAGCACTACCTACTGCGCCACTGCCTCACCCTAGATTTTTATTAACATTTTAAGTAACTGCTTTATTGTTGTATGTAGCTTAAAATGATATTATTGCTCCAGTCATTATTGTTTTTATTACTATTACCAATAATAATAACAATAATAATTAATATTAGAGTGATTTCTGAAGGATCATGTGACTGAAGACTGGAGTAATGAAGCTAAAATTCATCATTAAAATCACTGGAATAAATTATTAAATTAAATAATAAGCAATTTTAAACAGTTATTTTATAGTGCAATAAGATTTCACAATTTTACAATTTGTTCTGTATTTCTGATTAAATAAATGCAGCTTTGGTGGGCAGGTGAAGCTCATTTTAAAACATTTAAAAATCCTATTGAACCCAAACTTTTGCGTGGTAGATATACATTTGATACATTACATACACAAATGCATGTATACATTTGACAACAGGTGCATTTGTTCTCAACAAACCATATTACAGATAGATAAGCATGATATTCATGCCATTTATGCCAGCATCCATATTGCCAGATGAAGTGCACTAAATGTTAAACCCCTTTGCATTCTATAGTCTTTGATTATATGGATTAGTAAATTAGTGAATGAATTGCAAACAGCTCATATAAAATGTTTTTTTATTATTCATTTGAGAGAATCTTCTTAGTATGTTTTTAGACTGATTTAACAGTGATAATGGCCTCCATGAAGAAATAGAAAATGAGCAGGAAATGAGTTCTAGCCTACAGTTCGTGCTCATTTTTAATTCCATCTCTCATTCCTAAAGCATGAAAGAACCAGAGAGGACAGATTGCTGCGTGACAGAGACAGTTTGGCTGAAAAGATTAATTTGCCTTATGTTGCTAAATTGTTTCCTCCCTTGTAGTAAAACTAGAGTGACTCCGCCCCCTGCAGGACACCAATGAAACTACAGCAGATTCTCCGCATGTTTAGCTCGTGGGACGCCTGCTGGTTAATGCTGGAACATGCACATTTAACTGGAAATATCATTAGAAGGAATATTTTAGAATGTAGAATAATATAGCAATTAATTTGCCCATTAAATGCATTGAGATGGCCTGATAAACGATTTATTTTTAGTACTTTTTGCAACTACTATCTATTTGTCAACATCTGTTGTATCTGCAATATCCTATGGATGCATTTTTTTGCTTGATAAACACTTTTGTAACAAGTCTGCCATCTAGTGGTTTTACATAGTTGTGGCATTATACATATAAATGATCGTCTATTATTATGGGTAATAATGTTTCGAAAGAAATTACTTTAATAGATATCATTTTGTGCGAGAAAAACTGAACGTTAGTTCGTTGTGATATTAAATAGGCCTAATGCATTTATAATAATAATAATACTTCTCTATTAAATGTAGCAGTCAATGTTGCAACGTTCATTCATTTTCTTTTCGGCTTAGTCCCTTTATTAATCTGGGGAAGCCACAGCGGAATGAACCTCCAACTTACCCTGTACATGTTTTACGCAGCGGATGCCCTTCCAGCTGCAACACATCTCTGGGAAACATCCATACCCCCTACGGACAATTAAGCCCAATTTACCTGCACCGCATGTCTTTGGACTGTGGGGGAAACTGGAGCACCGGAGGAAACCCACACGAACGCAGGGAGAAGATGCAAACTCCACACAGAAACGCCAGCTGACCCAGCCGAGGCTCAAACCAGCGACCTCCTTGCTGTGAGGCGACAGCACTACCTACTGCGCCACGGGATGATGGCGTAATAAAAAGCAGTCGTTAATGAATATGTTAATGATTGAGTGGGGAAACGTTCCATCTTCATTCAGAGAAGCAAACATATTTGCATAAAATGTAAAGTAGCCTACCTATTCTGACTTATATCACGGGTTGAAGAATAGTGACAAAGTACTTTAAAAAATTATTTTAAAAAATATACAAAACAGTAAAATAAAATTATATATTTTAGTAAAATAAAAATACGAGCAGTGGCGTAGTGGGTAGTGCTGTCGCCTCACAACATGAAGGTCGCTGGTTCGAGCCCCTGCTGTGTAGAGTTTGTATGTTCTCCTCGTGTTCGCGTTTCCTCCGGGTTCACAGTGCAAAAAAGAAAAATACTATAAGCTAAATTGGCTCCATTGAATGAGTGTGTATAAGTTTTTTTCAATATTGGATTACAGATGAAAGGGCACAGGCGGATTTAGTAATTTTGGGGTCCTAAGCAATTCCAGCAATGGGGCCCAAAGTTCTAAAATGCACCTTAAATTTAGTTTATTATTATTACTTTTTTTGTTGCAGTTTTTTCTTATATTATTAAATCTCCTTTTCCACATTTTATCGTAATGCAAAATAAGAATAACATATTAAGCACCTTGTAAAACTTGTGAAACAATTTGTTTTCTTAAGATGAATTTACAACTTAAAATAATAAATGAATAATATAATTTTGTTTTTAAAACTAAACCTTTACTGATTTGACTGGACTGACTGGTCCATGATTGAAGGTGAGGGACACATTTGCGCAGATGTCATAATTATATTTAAATAAAAAAATTTAGATCATCCCCAGACAAAAATAATAGAAAACAATGTTACAAATAACTTCTAGATATCATTTATACATTTATGGGCATTTATTTGAGGGCTGTCAGATTTCCTGGGGCCCAAGGCAGGCCCTTACCCTACTTATTGGTTAATTGCCCCCTGGAAGAGCATCCACTGCGTGAAACATATGCTGGATAAGTTGGTGGTTCATTCCACTGTGGCGACCCCGGATTAATAAAGGAACTAAGCCGAAAAGAAAATGAATGAATAGTCTTTTAATATGTCACCAGATGATAACTGGTTTAAAATGTGCCTGGCAAGATGTGTGTGTGTGTGTGTGTGTAAACTACTGTTACACAATGTAATTTTAGCAGAGGATGTAAATGCTTTTTTGCTCTAAAACATACATTTTTTTAATATTTTATACATTTAATAACTTTATTTCTAGCTCACACGCGCACACACACACCCTATTTTGAACAGAAAACAAAGACACAAAGCAGTTTGTACACATATTTAATATTTTATTAAAAAAGAAGTTATTACAGTTTACTGTACACAGCTATTTAAGAGATTATAATCCTATAGATAAAGAGCATTTGTCCTTTGTGACAGGCATGCCCACTTCACAATGCAAAAGAAAAACAAAACAGAATGGCAAATAAACAGTAAGATTAATGGAGAAGGAAATAAAAGGGGCAAATTACCAGAATACCTGGGATTAAAAAAATGAAAAGGAAAAAAAAAAAAAAGTGTATTTTTTTCTTTTTCTTTTTTTTTTAAATCAGCGTATCACACACTAGGTACTAGATACAGATACTAATAAAAATCCATGCTGTATGCCCACATAAGCCCCATGACTGAGCACCCTCTTGAAGCACAGGTATAGGGACTAAAGGAGTGGACAGCCAGGACTCAACTAGACTGGACTCTACACTGGACGCATGCAAAAGTGCACTGGAGAGCTCGAGTCAACACCAATGCTAGAGACGTGATGCCAACAGCCGAGAGCGCCAGCTGGGGGCCCCTGTGAGGCAATGGCGCCAACCGGAAGACAGATCTCTCTCTCTCTTTCTCCCTCTCAGGCAAACAAACAGCTGGAGACCACAACATTAATAACTGCTGTCCCCTGGATGTGTATGTGTGTAGATACTTGTGCGCGTGGGGGGCTTATGGGTGCAAAACACAAAGGACACACTGTCATTATTATTATTTACTCCACCCCAACCCACTAACTTAAAAAGAAAAAGAAGAGAATAACTCCCTTCAAACCCAAACACCTTTTGTTTAGCACATATTACCTGCTCCAGATGGGTGCGTCAGCTATTGACATGGAAGGGGGAGGGGGAAACAATGTAATAACTCAAAACAATTAGTAAATAAATTCATCAAATAAAGGTCTAATTATAATGGAAGCACACTTATACATGTTTATTTGAGATTCTCAGATAGTCGCTGACTTGACAGTTAAAAACAAATGGATTCAAATCAAACGTCCACATTTTGTGTCTCATATAAGGGGATCAAAAATAAAAATAAAATGAAGCAGAAATGAAATCGAGAAGCTCAGTTTGCCGTGTTTTGTCAGGGTGTGTGTTGCTAGGCATGGCAAAATGTTCACCCAGCCAACCAAACCACAATGTGTGTTTTCTCCGTATGTGTATGACAAATGTGAAACAAAGTTTCTCCTTGTGAACTTCTTAATACAATACTGCATATAAGAGGAGTTTTCTTTTAACAATTATTAGAATTCTGGAAACCCTTTAACAGATTTAGACTCAAAAAAGTCCATTGCACAATTTGGCTCAATCTTGACTCGGGCTAAAACAACTTTAAAATGTTCTGCCCATAAAGAAAAACAGGAGAGAACTGAATCTTTACAGCTGAAATCAAACACCTCCCCTTATGAAATTTGCTCAAGATTCGATGTTCATTTTTGAGAAGCGTTGTACGCTACACGTCAAAACTTGTTTCATTTACATTCTGGATTATGAATGAATCTGCAAGTGCTTTCAGAATACTGCAAAACACACACACGCACGCAAACATCAACTAAATCTGGATCTTCATGTTACCAACATGCCACTGATGATATCTGCAGATGCTGAAATTCAAAAGCGAGAAGACCTCCGCCTGTCTGGCGTCAGATACTCGGGTCTTCTCCTAAACACCACTTCATCTTACCAAATGGGATCCTTCAGAAAACATCCGTATTCAGACAAAGCAGGTTACGAGACCTAAATCCATATGAACATCGATTTTTTTCCCCGTAATTCACCTCCAGGTAAAACTAACTAGATCTACATGAGGTCAAAAGACAGCTATCATAGTTATGCACAAGCAATAGGAAAAAAATGGTGAGCTCTACAAATGTTAGCAAAAATCTTCTTCGTTTTTTTTTTTTTTTGTCTCTTTTCTCTTTAAGGTTTTCTTCTAGGCTAGACCAACAAAGTCCTACACGACTTCCGCATCATACAACAAATGTACAAAAAAGATGCTCGAGGGTGCGAGACAGAAAGAGAAAAAAAGACAAACACTCTGTGCATACAATGTAGGTACAAAAAAAAAAAAAGGATTTGTGCTCTGTAAAGCACGACAGTCACTTCCTTGTCGTTTTTTTTTGTGTGTGTGTGTGTGTGTGAAGGTCACTGTGGAGGTAAAAACCAAAGCTTCGGTGAACTAACCTACATCTAAATCCTCTTTAAAAAGGAACGCAAAGGGAGTTGAATTGATATTTCCGCTGGCGTTGTGTCGTGGGCTTGATCGGTGAGCAGAAAGTGTGCGCCGTTTTTTTTGTAAAATCCTGATGATTGGTTTAACGTACAGCGTGGAAACTTTCCTCTCAAGGTGAGACTCGAATATAAAACAAAAATGGAGAGCAATTTAAATCTAAAAACAGCTGGTGACAAAGAAAAGGGACAACCAGGAAAGTAAATGATTACGCCGCTGAGATGTGTCAGGTCCAACCTGAAGTGCATCCTTGTGGAAAAAGCCTAAGCTGAAGGGGTTTGTATATCAGAGCATCACGGACACGACTCTCAGTACGTTAGTAACATCACAAGGAGACGAAAGAAATGGGCACCCCGTTTAAATACGGCCTCCGTCCGGTCAGTCTGCGTCGGAAAAGGTGGATTAGGGAGGTGATGACATGCACTCCAGCTACGCAGCTACCAAATGTGGATTCAAGAAGGGGAGAGAAAAAAAAACAAATCGACGAGCCTTTTAATTGTCGAAGAGAGCGAGTTAGAGATTGAAAGAGAGGGAAAAAAAGGGGAGAGGGGGGAAAAAACAACCACCAAGAAGTAGAGATAGAACACCTAGAGAGGGTGCCGTATTCATCGTCAACGCTAGATATCCATAAAAATCCTGGTTTAGTAATAATAACGATAAAAAAAAAATCACCTTGTTTAAATATGAATCTTTTTATAGTCTGCTTCGCATGGTTAGGAAATAATATAGTCTCTGTGGTAAAGGGGAGAAACTGTCGCCCTTAACTACAACTCCATGTCCTGAGCCTCGTCCTCTGAAAAGTCAGACATGGAGCTTTCTGAAGAGGAGTCGCCCGGTCCTTCCTCCTGCTCCTTCAGAGCCTCCTCTGTTGCATATTTCTGGATGTATTCTAGAGATGAAACAAAGGCGAGTTTTATACATTAAGTTTTCTATCATTGATGTAAAATAGGCATTATTAAATGATCTGATTATGTGGGGAAAGCAAGAGAAACAATAAAATAACATATACAGTTTTGGAAACTCAGATTTATACATGATCTGAAAGCTAAATAAATACGTTTTCCACTGATGTTTGGTTTGTTAGGACACGATGATAACCTTTAAAGTGGTCTAAGTGAAGTGCTAAGCAATGCATATTACTAATCAAAAATTAGGCTGATATATTTGCAATAAGAAATAAACAGAATATCTTCATGGATCATATTTACTTAATATTCCAATGACTTTTGACAAGCAAAAAAATCTTTCATTTGCACCCTTACAGTGTATTATCAGATATCGCCAAAATATACCAGTGCAACATAAGGCTAGTCTTGTGGTCCAGGGTCAATTATGATAATACAGTTGCATATTAATAAAATAACAGAACTAATAATTTTACTACAACAAAAATAAAGTAATATTTGTCAGCATTTTCAGACATTTGAGGGTATAATAATGAACCACTGCAGTCATTTAGATACTAAAGCACAGCAAATACTTATAAGGACGTTAACATAACTTGTGTTTCACTAAATGAACAAATATAGATGCCTACATATGCACAAGACAAATGTTTAGGGTCAGTAAGACTTCCAAAAATGTTTTGAATGTCATTAAAAAAAAGAATGTTCTTTAAAAAATAAATAAACAAATAAATAAATAAATAAATAATAATAATAATAATAATTCGATGGATTTGCTCTTCAGTGTTTGGACTCTCAGTTGTGATTAATAAACCACACTGAACTGAACTTAAACACTGAAAACTGAAATACACTGTTTCAATTTACTATGATCTTCTATGTGAAGCTGCTTTGGCACAATCTACGTTGTAAAAGCGCTATACAAATAAAGGTAAATTGAATTGAATTGAAAAATTTAAAAAGCTTGAGGTTTACCAATTTTTTTTACAAAGTAAAATCCTATCAGCTTTCCACAATGCGGATTATTGTAGGTATTTGGCTTTTTGAACTACAAAGTCCTCAAGGGATAGTTCACCCAAAAAAAGTCACAATTATTCTTTTTTCACCCTCAAGTGGTTTTAGGAAAAGATACATTGAAGAATGTTGGAAACCATTAGACACTGACATCCATAGTAGTACCATGGAAGTCAATGGGTGCCAATTTTCCAGCATTTTCCAAAATATCTTCTTTTGAGTAGTCAAGTCTGAAACCACTTCAAGCAGAGTAAATGATGACTGTTTGTTTAACTACTGTCAGAAGCTTTTTTTTTTATCCCAATTGAACGCATTTCAATTTTATAAATCAAATGTGAAATAAACAGCTGCATTCATCTTGATTGTTATATGTCGTGACATATGGATCCAAGTCGCTACTCATTTCAAATGAGAAAATATTTATTTATGATCATATCACACATTAAAGTGAATTTTATATAAAATCATGGTGTATAAAACAATCACCGTACTTACTGCATCAGAGTCACCAATATTTGAACAATTAAAAAAAAAAATGTAACAAGATTTAAACTTAACAACCGAATTGTTTGTATTCTAGGATGCGCTAATGAGGCATTTTTGAACAAAACTCTTCAAATTTGAAGGACATATACAAATAAATATTAATTAGTCAACGATTTCTGCACGATTGCAAAAACAAAAGGCAAACACATACAGTCTAACTTGACCCTAATCAAACTATTATTTTCTATTTCCAACTTTCTTTTATGTAAATACTGTCAAAGAAACCTGCCAAATAAGAAAAATGCTTAAAAAAAGTAATGCAAGATGTAAAATAATTAAAAGTTGAAAAGCAGCAAGCACATGTAGTGGTTTAACCAAATAAAATAATACATTATTTATTACCTTAAACACATTGGCCTAATACTGTTATCAGACAGATAAAGGATAACATTAATCGCATTTTTCTGCCAATATCAATATGGCCGCCAATATATTGTGCATCCCGATTGTATACTAAATTATAGCACAGTACACATCCTATGAAAATAATTAGTAATAACTTCCGAACAAATCCCTAAAACACGTTCATTTTTCATTGTAAAATAATAATGTGAAAAATGACGAGGTCACACTTTACAATGAGGTTCATTTACTAACACAAACTACGTATAAACAATACTTGTACAGCATTTATTAATCATAATTCAACATTTACTAATGCATTAATAACATCCAAATTAAAGTTTGTTAATATTAGTTAATGCACCATGAGTTAGCATGAGCTAACAATGAACAACTGTATTTTCGTTAACTAACGTGAACAATTACTGTAGTACATGTATTGTATATTGTTTGTTCATGTTAGTAAATGCAATAACTAATACAACCTTACTGTGAAGTGTTACCAATGGAGACGGATACAAACATGTCAAACTATTGCAGCTCTTTAAAATCACCTTTGATTTTCTGTTTGTAATCCTCCGGCCGGTGCAAGTACATGGCTGCCGCATCCCCGTTCAGAGGGTCGATGGGGTTCGGGTAGGCCAGCAACTGTGGCAAAAACGACTCGAAGATATTGGTGAGATCTGCGGAGAGAGAAGAAAGAGAGGAAGAGAAGGCTTTAGTACTGAAGTCTTGTGTGCAGCATAAAATGGAGGATTTGTGTTGAGTGACACGATTATGGTCTAATCCCTCTTTCAGTGTGGGGGCTGTGGACACAGATCTCTGCCTTTCGCTTTTACCACCGTAGATTTTCACTGTACATTTAGCCGACACTCTGTTATACAAACACCGGACTGAGCGATGGCATGAAAATACAGAGTATCTAAAGCAAATTTAAGATAAATGTACAGTCAGCTGGTGATCGGGAGGGAGACACTTTTTATATAGGATAGTTGAATGATTGATGGTAAATGTTTTTTCTTTAAGTTATTTCAGAGTAATACTTTGCTATTCAATCAATCAAACTAACAATCCATCAATTAATCAAACCAGACACTGTATTGTTTTAGCTAGCATTTGAGTATTTATTTATTTCTACCTTGTATTACCATTCCTTCCAGAGTTGTCAGATTGGGCGGTTTTGAACATGAATGTGCGGGTAAAAATGGCATAGGCGAGTTGACTAAATTTGTCCGGTTTTGAAACGTAACTTTTCTATGCAATTTTTTCAGCAAAACCTAACTGTTTGTTCCTACTCTATTCAGTTAGTAGTGACCAGTGCATAGCGCAAACCGCGTGGGCCCACCTGCAAGAGGAGGTGGATGAAAGTTCAAAAATATCAAAATACTCCCCGGATCACGCAGTGCCTATAGTTAAACTCACAGTGGTTTATCATGACACTTATCATGACAGCAACAAACAGAGAAGCATTGTCTGATTGACAAGTTGCACCTAATTAAGTTGAAAAAATTTTAAACGCCAAATAGGACGAATTTACACCCCATTTAGAAAGTAAAACATACTCTAACATTAAGTGCCATGTGTGGGTGAGAGTGGGCAGTGTTTCAGTCAGATCTGGTGATGATGACTGTACGATTCAAGATTATGACAGTTAAAGTAGCCTGGTTAATTTAAATAAATTACAACTAAATAAAATATTTATCTAATATTTTGAGCATGTTTTGGCGGGTTTCGAACAGCTTTTGGGCTTGAAAAAGTCGGCTATATCTGGCAACACAGCTTCCTTCCCTACCCTCATGATTGTCTTTGAGGTTAGAAAGGCTAGTAGGTAAGTAAGTCACATGACTTACATCTCAACACGTGGGTTTGCAACTGTCTGAAGATACACTAGGCAAGAGAGTGTGCGTCAATCCTTGTATTTTTGGTTAAGTTATTGGTTACTGTAGATTATGTAGGACGTCATTGACGTTGAAGATTTACTTTTCATAATTTTTTTGTTTACTAGACTAGATTATACATTTGGAATTATGTTCATATCTATCTGCACACTCTGAGTATTAATAGCAACTTGAGCATTTATTCATCTGTTGCAAATCTCAGTTCATAGTGAATACAACCTGTATATAATGTTCATAGTACATCAATCTGTAAATATCAAAAGTTTTTTTTATAACTGCACTTTATGACTAATACCGATATCCTGCACTTGCTGCTATTGCACTCCTGGTTAGACCTAAACTGCATTTCGTTGCTTGTACTTGTACATGTGTAATGACAATCAAGTTCTAAATTCTAAATCGAATTATTTTTTAAATATTAGTAAGACTGGTTTGGTTTTGCCATTATTTCACATTATTGCCACCCATTGCCATTATTTAAAAAAAAAAAAAGTTTATTGTTTCTAAAACTGTACATATTAACTCACTTATTGTTTCACCATCACCACTTGTAAATAAATCACTATTATTTGCACACAAGATACTGTTGTCTGTCTTATGGAGCCCAATTTTCTGTGGAGTTTCTGCTTTAACTAAATCCTCAGACCAAGTGTGCAACCCCACTCCCCTCGACTACCCAGGGGTTGCAACAATACTAATATTTTAGTATGAGTTAATTTTATTTTATTATTAATAACTGTATTATTCTTTTTAAAAAGAGTGCAGATTTATGCATTAGTACCATATTAAGTAAATATAATTTTTTTTATTCAAATATAAATTATATTACTAATACTACTAATTATTATTATTATTATTATTATTATTATTATTATTATTATTAACAACAACAATAATAATAATAATCTGTTTATTAGTGTGAAATTAAAATAACATTTTTGGTTGTTTTCATATGTTAGGCTTTTAAAATAATTGAATAATAATATTAATAAAATAATAATAATAATAATAATAATAATAATAATAATAATAATAATAATAATAATAATAATTATTATTATTATTATTATTATTAATAATAATAATAATAATAATAATAATAATAGTAGCCCAAAATAATTATTTGGTGCTAGTCTAATTTAATCGATCAATAAAAATAAATAAATAAATAAAAAGGATTCTTGGTTTTTATTTTGTATTTTCCACTTACCATGAATAGGTAAAACAGATTCTTATTATTATTTTATCTTTTGGAAGAAAAAAAAGACACTGCGGAATGATTATTTAGCACCAACTGGATTCAATCAATATAAAAAAAAATCTGAATCACATATGTCGGAATAATTTCACAAGACAGACTGCATTACTGAATTAAAAAAAAAAAAACTCAAGTCAACCTTTGGAGATAATTGCAATCATTATATTATTAACTATGCAGTTAAAATCAGAGTGACAGCATAAAAAAGCCTGTGGTGTGAATGGCCTCTGGCGGGATGGACCCGTTTAAGTGTGCTTGTTAGGTATACTGATGCTGTTTTCTGACCTTGCAGGTATTAGCTCATTCAGAGAAGGTAAGAGGATTATAGTGCACCACCATCCTGACTAAAGGCCAGGAGACTTTATTCTACTCCTCGGGCAGCATCAATGCAAGCTCTGGCTTTTCCTGAGCATTCATTCTCAATATGAATCCACAATGAGGTCATATGTACTCACCATAAAGAGCGGTCCATGTCTGGTTGATCACATCTAAACACACGGTCCCTGACCTGGAAAAACAGTGACAGTATTGGCATTAGAGCAGGACTAATGAGCTAAATTAATATTATTGTACTTAGATTCACTATGACACGCCATCACATTGTTTACTTCCACTTCTCCATTCTATGAGAGTGATTCCGATTACATTTTAAGGTACAGTATGCAAACTTTTTGTGTTTCCTTTTGAGATAACATTTTTTGTTCCTATTCAGCTAAAAATAGTAAATGCAAATAACTGTATTTAACTATACTGACTATAATCATATTGTTTAACTGGTGTAGTATGATATTATCATGTTTTAAACCATTTACGACACTTTGTTCATTATTATTAGTATATCTAACATACTAATGGACAGTATTTTTATTACTTCTCCAAAACCTGATCATCTTAGCATAGACTTTTATATACACACAATGTATTTTATTTACTCAAGCATTCCTGGATTTCAAGCTTTACAGTAATGACCGAGGATATTTATGTGACTAATAAAAAGCTAAAATGAATTTAAGAGATGGTTCTTTCATATTCAAAAGAAGAAACAAATTGTCACCGGTTTAAAACAACTTCAGGATGAGTCAACAACGATGGCATTTTAATTTTTGGGGTCAATTATCCTTTAAAAAAAAAAAAAGCATTCTTCACAAAACTATCATAAGACTTTTAAAAGACGACGCCAATTGGACTACTTTTAAATGATTGAATTGATTAATCCTTTTTTTTGGAGCTTGAAAAACCCTGTTTTGTCTTTAATATATAGAAAAAGAGCAGCATAAACATTTTTTAAAGTATCTCCTTTAGCATTCTTCAATCATCAAACAGGTTTTGAATGATTAGAGAATGATGGATTTACGTTTTTAGGTAAAATATCCTTAGAAGAAAGCCTCAGAATATCACTTACGCTTCATCGATGTTTGGATGAAAAATCTTATTCATAAATCCTACGAGAAAAATCAAAACAGGAAGTGAGATATATCAAAACAACAGCGTTTCAATGCACTAACCAACACCATCTTTACAGACTATTAAACATGACATCAAAGTGATGGCATGGCATTTTTTCCAAATTACACACGTATCTAAATGTAATCTACTCATAATTTCACAACCCAACCACCGTACGTGGCTGATCATGTCACTGTAATGCTTTACCTATAGACGGAGATTTGAAGGGGTATTTGTCTGGAAGATCTACTCGCACCTTCCAAACGCCCCCTTCATACGGTGCTGACAGGAAAAAACAAAACAGAAAGAGACACATGATGACTCAAGCTTTAAGACGAGACAATGTAGGCAAGATTTATTTCTGCACCTGTCAAATTTAATGTTTTGACTTTTCCTTTTAAGATATCTTTCAAAACACACTTTAAAGTGTTGATTTTATCACTCTTTTGCCATTTATTTTAATTACAAACGATATTTTTCTCCTGCATTGAGCCATAAGCACACACTTTGGCAGCACTTATTGTTTATATCGCAATCTTTACAGTTACATCTATGAAGGTTTTTACAGAGCAGACCTGGGCATTTTATGGCCCCCGGGCCAAATGCGGCCCACTGGACTTCTTTGATCAGCCGGCGTGAAGTATTTATTGAATTTCAATTCAACCGCAAACAGGGCCTTCATTGCACAGGTCTGATATTGCGAGTCAACAAAAGTCGACTTTCACATATAGCGCCTTTTGCAAGCTTAGTTTCGTTATTTTAAACAGACACTCGGGTTCAGCACGCAAATAAGAAGGGATTCACATGAGGTATGCCACACTGAATGAATAAATAAATAAATACAAGTTAACTAAGGTGAAGCAATCAAACAAACAACTCTGTAACATTTATATGAAGCTGACCTTTAAAATACTTTTGTGTAACATTTTTTTTTTACTTTAGAGTTTTTATTGAATTTTGTATTTTTTTTAACAAATTAAATGTATTGATCTCGCCCTCTAAAACCACCCCAGAGTCTATTGTGGCTCCTTGGAAAAATCAATTGCCCACCTCTGTTACAAAGGGATGTGTTCATACATAGTTTGACTGATTATATAAATCGATATATACTTTTTTTCAGACTGTTCCCAGAATTATATAACAAGAAAAGAGATTCCCTCTGAATATGTAAATAAGGCATTATTCATTTCTAACACACACATTACAAACCACACATTTTTAAAAACTACAAAAGTTTAGAAACAGTTTTCAATCGTAAGTTAACCCTCTACAGCACATCGTTGCCCTCAGGCAACAGAAAGTTTTCTTAAGGCTTGTGCTAAGCACAGATTTCTTAAAATGATTGCAACCAATTAAAATGTTAGAAAAAGTATCAATGAAACATCCAATAAGGCGTGCGAGTCACTATCTAGCACCGTTTGAAGGTGGAACTTCATTTTCTGACTCATGGTGACATGGATGGGAAGAAGTTAAGAATATTTGCTTAATTAACCTCATTCTAAGTAATATAAACTGTACAAAAATTGTATGTATTTGTGAAGTTGTAGAGAAGCCTTTTGTATAACTATATATATATATTTTTTTACCCTATTCACCTGCGGTGTCTTGCCTTAAAAAGACTAACACTCATAATGACTAACCTACGAGTGACTGAATGTGGGCGGAACACTAATTCCTTATTTGATAATTATGAATAATAAGTGTAAGGACACACGTGTGGGTGTGTATATATGTGTGCTATTGGTGTGGTGTGATATGAGGTCTGGTGCAACGTGTGCTCGCTCCAAGAATAGCCTTCTGCAATTTGACCCTTGTGGTCAGAAGCTCAAACTACGAAAGGTAAAGCCTGGGTGAGAGGAGACCGATAAGACTTCTGCTTCTCAATGTAGAGAGAGAGAAAAAAGGTCTTTACAGAGGATGATATGATAATTAAATAGGACCACAGGATGTTCTCTGGGTAAACAATGACAGCATGTCCCAAACCTAGAGTTGCGCAAGAGGTGCATGTTTAACTATGTAAAAGTGTCATCGTTGCTTCACGTGATAGTTAGGTAAAGAAATTGTGTGTGTTGGTGAATGTCACAAAACCTGTCAAGGACGTGTGTGGGTCATATTTCAACCCAAAAAATGACTGAAAGAAAAAAAAAAAACAGAGAAATTACTGTAATAAAAATGAAAACTATTATTTGCATATGTATTTATACAAAATAACACTTTTTAATATAAATCTGTTTAATATAGCAATGAAAATATATATCATTATTAATAATAATAGTTATAATAATAAAAATAACAATAGAATAAGTCACTATTAACAAAGACTATAATACACAAGAAATGTCACACGTATACTTTTGAATAGGGATAGGCAATAGGGTAACAGTCAATATGGTGAATAAAGCCCCGCCTTTTAGCCAATCAGTGATCGCTATACGGTGAATAAAGCCCACCTTCTAGTACACAAGCCAATCAGCGATCGTTATAGAAGGACAATTCTCAGAGGGAGGGGTTTCTGCAGATTTTGTGTGATACGAACATTTAGAAATGAAACTATAGAGACAGTTGTTGTTTAATTTTATTGGTTATTCATAATATGGAATTTAATCGTAAGCTTGGCAAGCAGTTTTAGAGAATTTGATGTTTCGCTAAACGCTGTAGGCCGTAATTTATGCTATTAACTACACTGTAAAAATGATATGATCAATAAATCCTGACAGCATATGTTTTTACATATGTACTGTAACTTCTTAAACTAAGTTAAATCATGTTTTAACTTAATTTGATAAGTTATACAAGCTGATTCAAGTCAGTTTAACATAATACAAGTTCAATGGACTCTTAATGTTAATTTGATTCAGCTTAAAAATTTAAAGCAACCAGGATTTTTTACAGTGTACTGTCTTATTACATGCTTATTATTATTATTATTATTATTATTATTATTATTTTAGGGTTTTTTACCTTTATCCTCTTAAGGCCCAAGGTGTTTGTTTTTTTTTCTCTTTGCTATTTGGGCTTTATAGAACCTAATTAGAATAAAAACCTAAGTATCATATTTTGATATGATGTACTTTTAGAGAAAAATGATGTCCATATATGTGTACTCGTGGTCCGAATTTACATAAAAACTTTTTTCCGGACAGTTTTTTAATGCATATTAAAAATTGATTTTTTTTTTAACATGTTTTGAATATCAGAAAGTAAAAATCTTTTCCCATTTTGGACATTTAAAAATAGGGTTTGAGACATTTCATATGCTGCAAAACCGTTGCAGGATGACACTGTTTGTCTGTAACAAAATATAAAACATTCAAAGTATTTTAAATAGCAACTTAAGGGCTAAAATGTGCTGTCCACGTATAGTTGCCACTAAAGCCATAGGAGGTTAATGTATAGGACAGTAGAGAGTATTGAAAGGAAAGCATGGGGAGCCGAAAGAGGTTAAGGATTGGCATAGGACAGTGAGGCGGGAATCAAACTCGGGTCGCCATAAAGACCAAAGTGCATGTGTCGACGCACTAACCACTACACCAACCTGCTTATTATTATTATGAACTGTTCATTAGTACTTATTAAGTCTGATCTTATTCTGCATCCTTTCTTCTACCCAAAACTTACCCAAAGTTAATAGTTTGTAAATACAGAATTGTGACCTAAACTAAAGTGTTACCTTTATCTTTTAAGCCATTACTGTATCTAAAGATTGAGTTATAAAATGCCAACAAATCCTTTAGTCTTCTGAATAGCCTTCAGATTCTACATACAATGCTTGTGTCTTTTTGATTTGTAAGTGAAATATGACTGGATGTGTTTTCATGAGATGAGATCAGTGTATTTGCTGTCCATACATGGAAATCATTTGAAAACAAACTTACTTCCTTGTGGTCCATAAAACTTCACTACGAATTCGTTGAGTCCACTCAGGATTGTGACTTCATGCTTACTCTCGATGCTAAAGGAAGAATGTTAAGGCAAATGCATGTAATTCACAAAATCAAAACAGAGCTCCCACAATAAATAGAAAATACTTAATACATGAAACTGATAGCCACTGGCTTCCTTGGTAGGAGAAAAAAAATACTATGGAAGTTAATGGCCACAAGCTAACATCATTGATAAAAACAACAACTAAACCACTTGAGAACATTTAAGAGCAAGTAAATTAAAAATTTTAGGGTTAACCATGTCTAAAAGTTCAATCAGGATTAAACAAACTTGAACTTTTTACAAAAATCTTCCAAGTAAAAGAATGCACTAAAATGACCTTTCACCTTACATTTCACACCAACAGATCAATCTCATGAACTGAGATTCTCACTCTGCCTTTATTCTTTGACCATCAATAATTTTCAAGAGGTTGAGCTCGGCGGATCGGATGGCAAAAACACAATCCGTGGGTCAGACCCGCAGCTCTCTACTGATGCACACAGGGCATCAGGGCAACTCAATACCACACTGCCGTCATTAGCTATGGCTGTCAGGCTGTCACTTCTCATATTGCTGGCGCAGAAGCAGCAGTCGAACCCTCGCTGAGCAAGACAATACATGCTCAACACCACACCAAGACCATGACATAGACCCAGCCGATGCTGTTAAAGACTCACACATGGTCTGGCTTTTTAAGCTTAAGCACAACATGCCCCCAAAACAGCTCTGCCACTGTCCTGGTTGGTAACAACGGATGTTGATTTACTAAATTTCCCTTGATCGATTAAGTAATAAACTATTAAAAGTATTAAAGTAACGGTATTAATGAAGAAAATGTAATCATTATATGCAAGCAATGACACCATATTTCATACATAATATATACATATATATAATCAGGGCTTGACATTAACTATTTTGATCACTAGCCAGTAGCCCACTGTGGCTACTGTGGCCACTGTGGCTAGTAGTTTTCCAACATTATTAGCCACTTGCCATTTTCACTAGCCACATTTTGTTGTTGGGAAAATATATTTTATATGTATAAAAATGACTTTGGCATGCAAAAAATGACTTGATTTAAATTATGTGTTGTGTCCACATGCCTCCTTTATTTGTATTTATTTTACACTTTAAAGGGCTCAACACTAAGGATTTAAAAGTATTTAAAAGCAAAACACGCTAAATATATCTACACAGTACATACAAACACTTGATATTTAAAAAATATTCTCATTTATATAAAACTATACACAATAATTTGTCTAAACTAAAGGTCCCTGATCACCAGGTAACTATATAAATGGAGAGTTAATCTCCTATCTCAAAAACTACTGCAAGCAAAAGAAAGCAGGTGAAAAACATTCTGTGTGCGACATGGTTAACGTAAGGCCTATTAATAATCTGTTCAAAGAATGGTAAAAGCGAAAGCGGCAAGAGCTGCTGCTGCATTTTCAACCAGCCAGGGTGGCTTGTAGGGGTGTCTAACCAGTCACAGCTAAAATCTACCCGCATTTGGCGGGATGGTGGGTGACAATGTCAAGCCCTGTATATAGTCATTGTTCATCACTTTTTGAGCAACAAATCCAACTTCCTTTAACCCTTATGTGCTGTTGGGGATGTTTTCATCCACTCTGGGGTGATTTTGAGTCTTAATTTGGCCACAACATTTCTGCATTTCAGCAAATGGAATGGTTTTCGGTGACAAATCTTACATTTTCACACCTATTTTGAGAAATACTTAGAAAAAATGTAAACAATACCCTCTTTTCTAATACTATTCTGTAATGTTAGTGGCTGTTTTTGCCCTATTGACTTCCATTATATTGACTTTTTAATAATATAAATGACACATTTTACCTCTATCCAACAGGGAAAACCACAAAAGAATCAAGAATGCAGAATTATATACTGTCATGGCTTAGCAATCAAAAAATACAGTTATAATGGCAGTCAATGGGGCAAAAACAGCCTCAAACATAATAGAAGGGTGGTAAATTTGAGGTGTACACAAGGGTACAAGTATTCTTATATAATTGTCCTGCAAAATTACGAAAAACATCTATTACTTTGTTTTTCTAAATTGATTCATATACAATTGCTGAATTTATTAACAGTATTTAAGGCAAGTACATAATAACTAATTTGCTGACCTAAAAATTCATCTTTGAAAGCTTTACCTTTTCAGTGGAAAAAAATTTAAATAAAGCAACTAGTTACTTTTTAACTAGTTACATTCAACACTGATTTTTATGTACCTCACATATGTAAAATACTAATATTTTAATTTTACGGTACATGTCAATGAGCTAAATGTACCAGTTAATCCTATTGATGTCTACAATACTACACAACACAACAACCCTGAATAGTAAACTGATATCCCGTTCTGTTTTTTCAAGCATACTAAAGTAAAGTTTTTAATAGTCTCATGCATGTTTGCTTTATTTTTCTCTTGCATTTACAGTGCAGGTTTTAGTGCAAGCCAAATAATATGCAAGTTAATGACATCCATGCTTAATCGACCAGAAATAATGGTGTTATCAATAATAAGCCATCAATAATCAATTAAAGGATTCACTGGCGTCCCTAATGCTAATGTGTGTCATGTGTCAGCTGTTGTGTAGGCTGAACTGTGACTCAAACAGTACATTCACGCTGCCCAGACTGGATCACGAAGGCAAACATGTTTACGCTCGGCTGGAGCTGTGATGTGTCCTGTGACTTGTGTCGAGTTTAACCAGTTGAGTGCTCATCTCAGGGGTGTCTGTATCAAACGATGATGATGATTCTCATCACGGAACGGAGCTGTCAATTTTAAGTGGCCGCCTTTAAACATCTGGTGCGAGAGGGACATTGAGACTCCCGGGAGACGTGTGGTAGCTGCTCTATGTCAGATTAGCACTCATTGTGGCTTCTTGGCACCCAAGTCTCAAGTTGCATGAACTCAATGACTGTAATTACGCAGTGATTCATCCCCGAAAATTGGACTTTGTGGAGCCAATGAGTTTTATACCAATGCATTTCCGATATTTGATCATTTAAATATATTTAAAACACTATAAAAATGTTTTTAATTTAAAATTATACACAAAAATTTATAAAATCTAATTTCACAATAAGGTTCTATTTATTCAAGAGATATCATTTAGTCTCCCTCATGTAACTTTAAACCTTAATAGTGATACCATTCGAGTTTGTTAAACACAAAAGTAGATATTTTGAAGAATACTGGTTGCTGGGACCAATGCACAAATTTTCAGCCAGGCAGCCCAAGGGCTTCCAATGAACTGGCTTTCCATTACAAAATCGTCACGTTTAGGATCTAAATTCTGTAAAAATCAGTGCTTTTCACTGACTGTTAGGTATACAAAATGAAGTGGGTGTCCATTTTTCCCTGTCATGTCTTTAAAATATGACCGTTTATTTTACCCCAGTATTTTCAATGGAATTTCTGCACTTACCTGTTGCTACTGACGGTGCTAGGGGTTACAACAGTCTTTCATCTCACTTTACGCTTGAACAACTAAATAAACGCTTAAATCTAATTAACTGAATGTATTGTAATGTAATTACAATGTCAATGCTGTAAAAACAACCATGTGTACTTACATTAAGCTTTCACCGGAAGTTTATCGTTGGCTATAAAACTCTAGCTGTGCATAGAGCCCATTGACTTCGACAGTAAGAAATAAAATACTATGGAACTCAATGGATCTCAGAAACCAGTTTTTGAACAAGTGAATCATGAAAGAATTGAATTTTTGGTTGAATAATCGCTTATACATTAGTTTAATGCATCAATTCACATGAAAAAACTTCTAAATGATTTATTAATCTTAGTTAATGTTAAGATCAACAACCAAAACATTTGATTAATAAAACATCAAACATGTACTTTATAATCTCTTTTAGACATTATTGTTTCAAATGAAAACATTTTTAAATTAAATAAAAAAATATATATATATTTCTATATTCTGAAAATATGTTGAAAACATGTCGAAAATAGGGCCTGCGGGCCAAAGCTGGCCTATTGTAACCTTCGATTTGGCCCACCATCCTATCTGAAAAGAGAGTTAGATGGATGGAGAGGGTTGGGGCAAATGCCTTTAAAAGAGGTCATCATTCCTAATTTGACGTAACCTTTTTTATTGTTTGTTTTATTGCCAAGCTAAAAAAAAAACTAATTGAAATGAAATGTTTCAATTAAACATTGTAAATGAATCAGATTTCTTTTTTGTAAATGCTGTCACTCGAGAGAAGACTAGAGCGAGAGGACTATGCAGAAGACATCGGTGAGCAAACCAAAGCAAAAACTAGTGTAACTCCATTCTGTCATAAATTAAATTGTTTTTACTCCAATAAGTTCATTAGAAAACGTTACTACGAAGCAGAGATGGCTAAAGACATTTGATTTTAAAAACACATCAAACATGTAGATTATAATCACTTTTAGACATCATTGTTTCGAACTAAAAATTTTTTAAATTAAATAAATTACTTAAAAATATGTATTTGAAAAGAAAGGAGAATGATGGGAGGTGGTTGGGGTGAATGCCTTTGACAGAGATCGTGATTTTAATTTTAACATAATCCTTTGTTTCTTTGTTTTATTGTTGAGCTATAAAAAAAAGCTAGCTGAAATAAAATGTTTCAATTAAATGTTGTATATAAATTAGACTTTTAAAATGTACAAGCTGTCATTTCACAAAAAGCAATGCACGAGACATCGGCAAGCAAATTAAGTCAAAGGTAGGAGCAGCTCGACTAGTGTTTTCAGCATCAAACTCCATAATCTTATAAATGGGATCTTTTATGTTTTTACTGTAATAAGTTATTTATAAAATCTAAATAAATTATACTTCATAGTTAATAGGGTTTAAAGCAACATTTTCTAGTTATTTTTAAATATCTGTGAATAAATTACGAAATTACCCATGGCAAATATTATATAATATGGTGTCAAATACACCATATTATGCATATATTCGACCCACATTCCTCAATCATGTTTAGTTTTGC